CTTTTAAATACTAGACATTTTTATATGCATTGAAATTCATAGTGCTTAAATATAAAATATAAACATGAATCAAGATGATGCATTGATAAGGTCACTCGAAATAAAAATCTTTTTTTAGCCATTCAGTATAATCCACAGTAGCAAACACAGCCCTATGAAAAGCATAGGCTTGCAGTCAGAGCTGGTTTCTAATACTCTTCCATTCCTTAGAGTTGTGTGGCCTTCAATGTGTTAATTAAACTCTCTGATCCTCAGTTTTATTAACTGTAAAATGAAGTTAATATACATATTTTTAAACAAGTAGCAAAAGCATTAAACATAATATTGTAAAGAATCTAAATGGAATCTTACAAAAGGCTAAAGTTACAACTTGATTCCCTACAAATGATTAATAACAGCCTCTATTCTCTTTCTGGCATCAGCTCCATGTCAGCTGTTGATACCTACTTAATTAATGATTCTCAAATCTGGTCACACACTACAATCATTTAAGGAGCATTTTAAATCTAGCCATGTCCTGGTCCCAGATCAAGAGAATTAAAATCATAATGGGTGGGAGTGTGAGAGCCCAAGAATTAGTGGGAAAGTACCCCAGATGACTCTCGTGTTGAAACCTCAGAGAAGTAACTCAAGTTCTAAGTATCGAAGAACTCAGTTCATACAATCAGTGAAACTTTAGAACCAATAACGCTCCCCAACAAAAGCTTAAGAAAGCAGCTGTTAGATCATTCTTTAGTTTTTCGTATGCCTTCAATCAACTCCATATCTCCAAAGCTACAAAACGCTAAAGAGAGCTTTTGTCCCCCATGTACATTCCTGAAAATTTGCTTCAAAATCAAAACATTAAGATCCCTCAGAGCAGGTGTCCCCAAACTGTGGCCCCCTGAGGCCATTTATCCGGCCCCCCACCCCACTTCAGGAAGGGGCACCTCTTTCATTGGTGGTCAGTGAGAGGAGCACAGTATGTGGCGGCCCTCCAACGGTCTGAGGGACAGTGAACTAGCCCGCTGTGTAAAAAGTTTGGGGACGCCTGCCTCAGAGCAAGGTCAACTAAGCTTTTAACATTTAAATTTTGAGGACTTTTTTTTCCAGCATATCTGGCAAGGAAATAACACAAGTACTAGTAGTTCCAAAGTTAAGCACCCAGGTTGATGTCAGCAGTCATGTTGCTTTTTCTAAGTGATTAATGTCACTTTACTAAGTACTAAGTGATTAATGTCACTTTACTAAGTACTAACACAGAAAACTTAATTTGGCTATCACTCTATTCTCCAATGCAGCATTTCAATTTTCTAATCAGTATCTCCAACAGTGTTGCTCTTTGCAAAACAAACTGCAAACCAACCCAGGATTTCTACTTCACAGAAACAAATATATAAATGGTTTATCAGTTTACATCTAGATCACTACTCAAAAGTTAAACCAGTCAACTTTCACATATATATGAAATCATATATATATATGAATTAGGAGTATATATGCATTTATATGTATAGTATACATAAAATATATAAATATATATTTGAATGTACATATTACATATTAATATATATATAAAGTTGCATGCAAACTTTTTTCTCAAAGAAAAACTGAAACTGTGTGATTCAATGTCTTTTGCCATCTAAACTTTTAGATGCCAAAAACAAGCCCACAAGATAAGAGAACAATGTATCTCATAACAAATGCCATAAACAAGCCCATAAGATACAGAACAACAAATACGAAGTGAATACGTTTGCATGTTATTAAGAAAGGGATCTAAAGCTGGGCACAGTGACTTGTGACTGTAGTCCCAGCTATTCAGGAGGCTAAGGTGGGAGGACCACCTGGGCCCAAGAGGTCAAGGTCAGCCTGGGCAACATAGCAAGCCTCTGCCCTGTCTCAAAAGAAAGGGATGGAATCTAGAATGGTAAGGGATTAAAGCAGTACAATGGAGGCCAAGATGAAAGACAAAGATGACGACTGGACCAGACCCTTTGAAGGCAGGGACTTCACCAGCACAGATCCTAAGGCAGGCACTATTTCTGTGCACTGTTGTTTCCACTGGAAAAAAAAAAAAAAAAAAGGCACCCAACCCATATAATTCAAAATATGGTAGAACGCTAAACATGAGTTAACTGCGTGAAGGCACCAAAAAAAAACTTCAAACTATTCTTTTTGATGTTACAGTGTTACAGTTATTATTTAGAATATTTCAAAGAAAAAACAGCAGATGAGAGGACATAAAACAATTTATTTTTTCTAAAATAGTCACTCCTCAAATGGGCTAATTTATCATAGAAATGCAAGTGAGGGTAAGAACATCAACTACCTTTTTCCTGAAATGTATTAAAATATTACAGAGTTCATGGTTAAATATAAGTTATCCTTTAAAATGTAGATTACTATATCATACCATGGTCAAGAAAAGATTAAAAGCAATTAACAAAATGAACTAGGCACCTGGAGATTTTTCTTCTGGTTTTACTACTAATTTGCTGGGACTGCAATCCAGTCACTCAATGTCTCTGACCTTCAGATTCTCATTTATAAAATACAAACAATTAAACTTGGTGCTATGTTAAAATGACATGTTACAACAATGTAAAACTTGGAAAATTACAGAGCAATTCTTTCCAATGGTAACATCCAAGGATAAAGACTAAACTAGGTCTCCTTGTCTATTAAAATAATGAGTTATGATATAATTAGTCAGTTTTATAGCAAGAAATTTACCTCCAAAACTTAACAATTATAACATATTAAGATTGCTGCCTGCCACCTCTCGAATACTCTTATCTCAGATATTTTTCACTCAGATAAAACTTTTTTCTTTTTTTTAATGTTCTGTGTTTTTAAGAAAGAACTGAAGCAATAATGAATACTAAGTATTCAACAACTCTTATATGACAGGCACTCAGAATATGCCAAAGGACAAGCTAGGCAAGTGGAAGAGGACAAATGAAGTAGAGAGGTAATTTTTTAATGTTGATATTTTTCAGGTAGTGATAACTTCTCTGAATAGAATAATGTAACATGAAATGATAGAACAATGGTAGTGTTTTAGATAAGGTATTGACACCATTCAGATGCCCTACTTAAATTTAAAAGGAGAGGGCAAAAGCCCTTTACAAATATTTAACAAATTAGATAATGCACTTTTGTACATTCTTTTAAAGTGAAGAACTTATCAGTTTAACCTTTAAATTCTCAAAAGTGGCTGGGTGCAGTGGCTCATACTGGTAATCCCAACACTTTGGGAGGCCAAGGTGAGAGGATTGCTTGAAGCCAGGGATTTAAAATCAGCCTGGGAACACAGCAAGACCTCATCTCTACATTAAAATAGAATATCAAGAGTAACATCTGAAGGCTGTTACTATAGTCATCCTTGCCACTAAAAGTGTTTTTCCATTTCTTCAATACAGAGCCAGCTGACCTCACTAATTTATTTAAAAGTCCCCAGGGACTTCTGAACACCCATGGGTGTATTTTGTGAAAGCAGGTATGTTTTTCTTTCTTTGTTTTTTTAAAGTACCTTAACCTAATCCATTTCCAAATCTGATTTAATTCTATCTTATTTTGCAATCGGAAATCTGTCTCATTAATTCACATAATTCTGCAGCTCCACTTAGGAACCTTGCTTTTATGCTCAATATCTTTCTACCAATATATTTCTTTACTCATCCTAATTGGAGAACTTATGGAAGGATATATGATAATATTTAAACAATGAAAAACCTGGAGAAAGAAAAATGAAAGTCAAAAGAAAGAGGACTATTTGGAGAGGAGAAAGCTAATTGGAGCAAAATGAAAGAATTAATTCATATACTACATGTTTCCTCTATGTCAAAATTATACTAAATATCTTTTAGATTAGTCATGTTGCTTTGAGACTTTTCCATGTTTCCTCTAGACAACTGCCAATGTTCGAATAGTCTCTGATGAATACACATGCTGTGACTTGCTTCTAAGGAAACGCCTGTCGTGTTCCAGGGAAAAATGACTTCTACCCTCTTAAGTCAGGAAAACTGTACAAGTCTCATTCATTAGTGACAACGTCGATTTTTCCTTAACGTTTCTATTTCTGGAATGCTCATATTCTCATTAGGGCATTTCGGCGTTCAGATAAAGAAATTAAACTATGTTGGGAGAACACTTGGGGAAACAAAGGTGTACTACATCAAAGGGCTTTCCCACTTCAGAAGCTCAACTAGCATCCAAGTTACTCCTGAACTATTTACCAAGACCAAGGTTATCTTAGAGTTTTCTTCATCTCTTGCAGAACTACCTGTTCCCATTAGTGTTTACTCAAATGCTTAGCAAGGTGACTATTCCCATATCTGGCAGGAAGACATGCTTCATTTAACATTAACTCACCATGTGACAGCCCCTTCCCCTCCAATCTCTTCTCAAACATGTGAGGATAAAAAGAAAAGTAGAGTTGTTTGCAATCTGATTTGCGCTTGGTTTTGGCACCAGCAATTGGCCACAGGCACACACACCCCCAATCAGAGGCGCGCACCCCGCTCGCTCCCGGAACTGTCATGCGGGCTGACAGCTGGCACACCTTCCCGTCGCCCTCCACCCGCTTGCAGAAAGCCCACTCCTTACAGTCACGTTGACACTGCTCACCTGCCTGGGCCTCAGCCCACGGCCAAGGAAACGTTTGCCCTCTTCCCAGGAGCTCACTTACAGGTATCGTCCACTGCTCCTCCAGAGCCCAAACAAGGGGCCCTTTGTTACAGTTTTTGCTCCCGGACTCCTCACCCAACTCCTGGCATTCAGCTGGCCTTCAGCAATCCCGGGCAGCCCGGTATGCAGGCAACCAAAAACCAGCCCTCCGCCCGGGTGGCCTCCGAGAAGGTTGGGAGGAAGCAGCCTCTCCGGCTGCGTGGAGGGCGGCCAGTGAGTCAGGCCGCCGGCAGGGCAGCGAGTTGCCAGCCAGGTGAAACCGCCGAGGCCTCGCGTCCTCGCCGTCCTCGCCCTCCCCGGTGAGCGGCGGCGCGGCGCTCTGTGCTTACCCGGCTGGGGTGGCGAGCGGCGTGGGCGCAGCCGGGGCGTCCTGCGGGCGCGGGGTTCGGCCGTCCATCGCCCTGCGGGGCGTTGCGCGGGCTCCAGCTCCGAGGCGGCGCGTCACTGCTGGGGTGGGAGAGGCCGGCGGGTCAGGGCGGGACGCGCGCCTTCCCGAGGCCGGAGCGGGGCTGGCTGAGCGTCAAGAGCCCGCCCGAGCAGCCCCAGCCCCGGCCGGCCCGCCTCCCGGGTGCGCTTCCACCTGCGGGCCCCGGCTCCCAACCCGCGGGCGCCGCCGCCGTCGCCGCAAGGTCTAGCGAGCGCCCAGAGTACGGCGGAGGAGGAGGAGGTGGCGCTGCAGCCCCCGCCCCGTGGGGTTTACTGAGTAGCCATTTGGCGCCTCTCGGGGAGGGAGAGGCGCTGCCCGGGCTGGAAGAGGAGGAGGAGCGGGCCGGGCGCACGGGCACCGCCGCCACGCCGGCAGCGCACTCCCGGGCTCCTCCGGCCGAGTTTGCACAAACAAAACGCCCTGGGAAAACTTTTCCCGAAGAGAAGTTGGGAAGGCTGCTATCTCTTTTTCCCACCCAAGGCTCCTACGTTCTTCTCCGAAGGAGACAGTAGTTCTCCCGTTCTCCCTCGCGGCTTCCTCTCCTACTCTTCCCTCCCCCGGCCCGCACGCTGGCAGCTCGGCTCTCAAGCCAGAACTTGAATGGAGAAGCGGCAGCCCCTGCGAGGCTCAGCCCGGCGCGGCCCAGGCCGGCTCAGCGCCTCCCCTGCCCGCGGGCGGCGTGCGGGCGCTCGCTGGGCGCTGGGGGCCTCGCGGGAGCCCGCTCGCTCACTCACCCTGCCCCATTTCCCTGCCCGGAGTCCGGGAGCTCGCCGCCGCCTCTGCCGCACGGTTGTCCAGAAGCGGGGACGAGCTCGGCGGCATCGGAGCGAGAGAAGCAGCGAGCCGGAGAGAGGAACGGGGCGGGGGTGGGCCGGGAGCGAGTTGGAATTTCCTTCCCCCAGGGCTTTGGGGTTTGGGGTCCGGCTGGGGAAGCTGAACCGAAAGGAAGCGCCCAGGCGAGGTGTTCCCATTCCCACCGCTAGGGCTGCGCTTCGGGAAGGCTGGTGCGCCCGAGCAGGACAGGTGGGGAGGAAGGGCAGTTACCTGCCTGGCCAGGACCCGAGGGGAGGATTGGGGCCTCCGCGGAACGCGGACAGAAACTCGCAGAGTCGGGCCTGCAGCTTGCCCTCCCTGCAGCCTGACCTTCGAAGTCCAGGATTGTGTGTGTGTATGTGTGTGTGTGTGTGTGTGTGTGTGTGTGTGTGTGTGTGTGTGTGTGTGTGTGTGTGTTTTCTAACTTGTATTTTTAACTTGACCTCTCAGGTTGCCATTCTTTTAAAAGTGCACCTGTGACACAGATCTTTCTAATTGGTGGCAGGTTTAAGCTTGCCCTGTCTTCAGAGGCATTTTTTTTGTAAAAGCCTGTAACAGTTGTGACATGAAAACTGGTCAACAGTATGTCTGATGACAGTCTGTAAGAATTAAGCGATAGATTTTATTCACTTATTGGAAGTTTTACAAGCGTAAAGGAATCATACACAGCTGTGTGCTTGTTTGTACGTTTTAGTAGCCAAGTGCATGCCCTTTAGATGATTCTTTACACCTGACAGACAGGTATTAGGTAGAAGTTACCGCGGTTTTTTGCCATTTTAAAAGTAATGACAAAACCGCAATCACGTTGGTACAACCGTAATATATTTGCATATTTTATATTTTTCAGTTAAGTGCCAATTGTTTTAGGCTGCAAGCCATTCTGATGGATCCAAAAATGTGTTTTCAGAAAGTAATGTGACATTAATTAAGAAATTAAAATTACAGTTTTAAAAACAGATATTTGGATTAAACTGATGGAGAAATCTTACAGGAAGGAACACGCTGAAGGAGACCTCTGCTGTAGTACTGACAGCAAGTAATAAACCTGTGTTAGCCGCTGATAGAGTAACATTGGCAGATATTAAAATTAAACAGATATTAATGCTCCTTTAGTTGTTTATCCATTGCAGCAACAAAAAAAGATTGCTGAACTAAATGCCTAGCCACGTACTATTTGTCTATCATAGGCAGGCATTAGTGTTTATTTCTTCCAGTACATTAAGTAGTCCTTTCAGTGCATCTTTGCATATGAAAAGAAAAAAAACACATGACTCATTTGGATTACAATACTGGAACCATATGAGAAAAAAGTTGGTTTTAGAGAGCTTAACTAATAGTAATGCAATTTATTTAAATACCCCTGGATTTTAGTCTTTAAATAATAACTCTGGTTAAACAATTTCATGAATCATTTATGCTTCTGAATGTGAAGCTGTGCAGGCTTTTACAGTTGCTTGCAACAAATATTGAGTAACAGTGAAACTACTTTAAAGTCATATCTTTCAATCACAAGACAGGATTAAATCTTTAATTAGTTTCACCCTTAATTTATGACATACCAGTAATATTATGGACCCTAATACTAGTAAGATTAGGCTAATCTTAATCATAAAACATTTTCATAACATTTCATAACCGCTGAAGGCATTTTCAGTGCTCACCACTTTTTGCTGTCCTCCTTCTGGTCCTAGGGAGGATTATATACTCCACCCCACAGAAATTAGGTATGTTCCTGTGACTTTAAGTGGAAAAGTGACCAGACAAGAAATGCCTTATTTTCTGGTGAAATTGCTTATGCCAGTGTTTGACTCTCTATGTTCTCTTCCTTTGCTGCCACAAACATGAAAGCATGTATTAAAATGAAGATGACACAAGACTGAAGATCCTTGGAATGCTAAACTATTACCCAGAGCACAGCTGCCCTGAAGAGTCCTAGGACCTACAACAGAATCCACATAAGCAAGAAATAAGCTATGTTGGGCAAAACCGCTGAAGAGCACCACCAAGCTTTGTGGTCTTCGCATATGGTACTAAACTATCCTCATTGTAGCCAGTGATTAGCAAAATAGTAATCACAGTGGCTGTAATTTATTTATTTATTCATTTATTTATTTTTGAGACAGAGTCTTGCTCTTGTCACCCAGGCTGGAGTGCAATGTGGTGCAATCTCAGCTCACTGCAACTTCTGCCTCCCGGGTTCAAGAGATTCTCCTGCCTCAGCTTCCTAAGTAGCTGGGATTACAGGCGCACACCACCATGTCCTGCTAAATCTGATATTTTTAGTAGAGGCAAGGTTTCACCATGTTGGCCAGGCTGGTCTTGAACTCCGACATCAGATGATCTGCCTGCCTCGGCCTCCCAAAGTGTTGGGATTACAGGTGTGAGGCACCGGGCCTGACCACTATAAATCTTTTTACATAACAGGAGAAAACCGCCGTTTTCCAATCTTTCTAGTTATGCAAAGCTGTTTCAAAATTGGCCACTTTTCCAAGATTTTGCTCAATTTCCCCGTTTGGGAATCTCCCACTCTCTTCACCACGCAGCCGATCATTTTAAATGGCTAGGCATAGGTATTATCTCCTCAGGAAGACTTCCCTGATTGCGAAACACAAGTAGCCCTTCCCTTTCCTGGCCCCGAGTAGGTTCTGTTAGGTAGAGAAAGGCAATGTGGTGCAATCTCGGCTCACTGCAACTTCTGCCTCCCGGGTTCAAGCGATTCTCCTGCCTCAACCTTCCTAGTAGCTGGGATTACAGGTGTGCACCACCACGCCTGGCCATTTTTTTTGTATTTTAATAGAGACAGGGTTTCACCCATGCTGACCAGCCTGGTCTTAAACTCCTGACCTGGTGATCCTCCCGCCTCAACCTCCCAGAGTGCTGGGATTACAGGCGTAAACCACCTCTCTCGGCCTGTTCTTAAAGGACCACATCTTATCCTTTGTCTCCTGAAAGCATAGCCCAGAACACAAGAGACTCCCCACCAGTATGTGTGTACTGAATAAAGGAATGAAGGAAACCTTCATGATTTCCCTTTTCAGAAGAATCCTAAAGGGAACTTGAGTCAGGGAAAGACTTCAACTCAAAGGGGCTGGTGGGCCACTTTAAATAGAACAGATGGAAGGTGAGTTTGCCTACTAGGGAGAGAAGACTTATTCTCCAAATGGTTGGTTACCTCATGGGGTTAGTATCAAAACGAGTAGAATAAAGCTAAATGAAGGTCTACATAGCTATGTAAATCTTTGAATGATAGTCTAGGTTTCAGAATCCTGCTGGATAGTAAGAAATGGAAATGAGGTTTACATGCTTAATAAATACCTGTGTGCTTATATAAAAAGCAGACAGGCATGTTAAAGTGAACCACTCATGGAAAAATAGGGTTTGTCTAAAGCTTTTGTAAACTGTATGGAACACTGAAAACATTTTTAAATGCTTATTTTAAATACATTTTTATTCCATTGTAAGTGCCACTTGAAAAGCTTTAAAACTGAAAAATTACACCTCAAAGGTGGTTAATATCCTTCTATGCATTTCACCTTTGCACATTACAACCTAAAGAAAGTGTTTGTCTTCTTAGATTGTATACACATGTGTATTGGCAGTTTCACAGAACAAGGTCAGGTTTGTTGCATTTTGATTTTAATAAAAGTCTTATTTCAGACTTTGTATTTCATAGAAGCTGCCCAATCTCAGACAAACTTTTTTTCTGTTATTTATGCATAAGACTTTGTTGATGAAAATGGAGCTGAAACTCAGAATTGCGGCTTTATTCTCAATTCAGTAATATATGCATGATAATTATCATTTCATCTTTGTGTAGTGCTTTCATAATTTAGAGTATTCCTACATGTATTAACACATGGAAAGTGTTGTTAGAATTTGATGTTCCCTATATAAATGTTTCATGGGAGCTTTATCCAAAAATACCAAAACTATTTTCTTTGGCTGTCAGGAATGCTGGGCCAGGTTTTGTGATTAGTTACTACTGTCTTTATCTTTATTATTGTTATATCTTCTTTTCCTTTCTCTCCTATTCCAATTTATAATCTTATTTAATGCCTTTTTTCAAACTGACCAACAATTAATAGATAAGAATAAATAAATTCAACAGATATGTTTGTTGAAATATCAGTTTCCTCAACATAGCAATGTCTACTTCGGAAAAAAAAAAAAATTGTTTTTAATTTTGGCTAGACATGGTGTTTCATGCCTGTAATCCCAGCACTTTGAGAGACCGAGGCAGGCAAATTACCAGAGGTCAAGTGTTTGAGGCCAGCCTGGGCAACATGGTGAAACCCCGTCTCTACTAAAAATTCAAAAAAAAACAAATTAGCTGGGCATGGTGGCAGGTGCCTGTAATCCCAGCTACTCAGGAGGCTGAGGGAGGAGAATTGCTTAAATCTGGGAGGCAAAGGTTGCAGTGAGCTGAGATCATGCCACTGCACTCCAGTCTGGGTGACAGAGTGAGACTCTGTCTCAAAAGCAAAAACGAAAAAATTTTATTTTGTTTCATTGAGGCCTCTCTTCTTCTTTGCACTGAAGTTAGAAATATACGAAGGAAAATATGAAAAATTCTTAACTCTTAAATGTTTAAATGTTGGCTTTACTGTCCAATGTATGCAATTATAATAAAAACTGACAGAATTAGTTTTCTCTATTGAAACTGTAAACAATTGTTAAACATTTTAAAGTCAAATATAATAGCTAAAGTCTGTATTGTTTATGTGGTTTTCAATAACCATAGTAATTGCAGACATTTTAATTCTTGTCAGATCTATTTTAATATGTGAATTAAATGACATACTCAAATGAAGTGGTAATATAGTTATTCATACTTTCAAGTTTAATGCATGGCCCCCCTCTTTAAGTATTATAGATAAAAAATAGTTTTTGTAGACTAATTGAGTGTGGGAGATATTTTTTATCCAGTTATGTTGTTTAACAGAAGAAATAAAAGTCATATTTGGCAAATTTATTCTTAAAATGTAAATAAATCCCTCTTTTTCCTATATAAGGTTTAATATTTACTTTAATATCCAAGTTTGAAGAAAATAAATACAATACTATTTTTAAAGGGAAAATGTGAATTACACTCTTCATGAACCTATATTTGGAATTACAGTTATTATG